GATAGCATTATACAGTTGAATTCGGGTGCATTGCGGGACTATGGTTTTGACCTTCTTGATAGCATGGATTCCTTTCAGTGCTTTTTTTCGCACATGATCAACATGGTCACCCCAAAAGAAAGAGTTTTATCTACAATAACTCCAAGATGTTTACATTCCTTTACTCTATTTAAGGACATCCCATTAATGTTTACATTAACATTGCTGTCTGGTATGTTGCATAGTCTCGATTGGGTAGCCAATGAATTACCTCTGTCTTCTTAATATTGAGGCTAAGTTTATTATTATTTAGCCAATTTATGACATTAATGAGATCAGCATTGATAACCCTAACAAGCTCATTAACATCTTTACTGGCATAGTAAAGGGCTGTATCATCTGCATACATACTGACCTTACAGTTGCAAATATGTTTGGGAAGATCATTTATGTATATAATAATTAGAAGGGGGCCAAGGATTGACCCTTGTGGTACCCCACTTGGGCAGAACTTGAACTGTTGCCGTTGACCAGTGTTATGTGGGAGTGATCATTCAGATAACTGGTGAACCATTTAATACTATTACTGTCAGCGCAATATAGCTTGAGTTTGCGAATTAGAATGTCAGAATTAACTCTGTCAAAAGCTTTCTTCAAGTCAAGCATTACCACTCCAGTTATTTTGTCATTTTCAAAACTCTTGGGCCAGTCGTCAGTAACATTGATCAGAGCTGTGGTTGTGGAATGTAATGGTCTAAAACCTGATTGATATTTATTGAGGAGTTCACTGGCATTCATATACTCATAAAGCTGATCAAACACCGCTCTCTCAAGAATTTTAGAGAAGATAGGCAAGACAGATATTGGCCTATAATTACCAGGTTCACTAATGCCTCCTCCCTTATGGATAGGTATTGCTTTGCCCTTTTCTTGTGGATGGGTTTGAGGCAGAAGTTCTCGTCACTGTACTCGTTATCACCACCGTTGTTGATTTTGCTGTTATGTACATTATTATCGCCGGATATTTGGGCAGCAAGTTTTGGCCCTATGCTGGCAAAATATTCGTTGAGTACATTGGCAATGTTCCCTGGCTCCAATATTTCCTCACCATCCGCACAGATCTTATTAANCTCAATGCCCCAAACCCTGGTATAGGGTTTCAAAACAACACTGGATTATCACCACTTTTGAGAGTGAAAAATGTCGGTAATGCCCAGCAGCCTGGTCTTTTGTTTGGGATATGGTCTTTTGTTACAGGGCCCTGTTTCCTTTGTCCGAGTTCGGAGACCCCGGCCACCCATATAAACCATACGTCTCTGGTCCCGGAGTCCCCGGCAGGAAGTGGTTAATGACGCAACTTTTGCTTTTTGTGGGAATAACTTGTTTGAGGTGCTTCCAGACCTTTCCACTATTGTTACTGGATCTGATGGCCTCCTGAAAATAATCTTTTTTACTTTTTTTGATTTTGGAAGTGACTTGGTTGCGTGCCTGCGTGTAGTTTTCCCACTTGCCCTTGTCTTGCCCAGACCTGATGGCAATCTTTTTCAATTTTTCAAATTGATCAAGGGCAATATCAACATCATTGTTACAATAAAAGAAATTCCAATCAATATCACACAGGTCCTGTAAAAAATGTTCATCATTCATTTTACCATAACACCTTGTTGATATAAGAGTGTGACCATTATAACTTTAGCACTGTTTTTACCCCAGATGGCGTATATCATGGAGTGATCACTTATTCCTACATGTATTACACCACTTTTAACAATTTTCAATCTCTTAGATGTATACAGAACATCATTTAAAGTAGCAGAGTGCTGGACTACCTGAGTAGGCTCGTCAATTACCTGAACTAGATGAAAATTTTTAGTAAGCTCGACAAGCCTTTTCGTGTAACAAGAGGTGTTAGTGCTTATAATGTCGCAAATGAAGTCACCAAGGACATGAAGGAAAACCACATCTTTGTTTCGTTTTCTGTTTGGTCAAGTGTATGTTCCACGTGTTCAAACAAGTCCATACTGGAATTGGGAGGTCTGTATCATGTAAGGACAACAACTGGTTTCGACTTCCCCTGTGAAATTTCAATTGCCAGCATTTCAAGTTGATCTATCATGAGGTTTTTTCTCATAGTGTGGTTGACCTTATTATACATTGCAATGCCACCACCATTCCTGTTACGGTCTATCCTGTAAATATGAAAATTGTGGACATATACCTCATCATCCGTTACGACATCATCAAGTCGGGTTTCACAAAGAGCCATTATGTCAATGGGATATTTCAAAAGAAAGGAATGTACTTCATTAAAATTACCTGGCAAACTTCTGATAATCAAGTAGGTTAGCTTCAAGCCAGGTTTTCTAGATAACACAAAAAAGGGCCCATTGTCTATCCATTTGTGTGATTTTCTGATAGATGCATTCTCTGCTGCTATCAAAACCATTCTGTTGCTTGTGATGGTAGTGGGTGATGAGGCATCTTTGATACTCATATTGATGGAATCACCCCCAGCTCCCTCCGTACCTGTTGATGGTTCATTCTGGTTTTCCGTGCCGGTCCCCAAAAATCCTGCTGATGGTGTCCTCGTACCACGCTGGCATAAGTAGCGTCTTGGTTACGGTTGCGTTTTGGCTGACCGTCGGATCTTCGTAAATTTTGCTGGTGTTTCCTCTGCAATAGATTGTCACGGGTGGAGGAAAGAGATGATGTTTGTAGCAAGAATAGCCTGACCAGTGCGGTTAAGGTGGACTCCATCAGAGCACAAATGTCTCTAGTTTACGTTAGCGTTATCGGTAAACCCCCATCCATGTTGCTTGGCAGCTTCCTGTCAGTATTGTTGGACTTGTTGATTTTTACTTTCTCGGCAGCAGTTTCTCCATGGCGATGTATGATACCTGACAGTGCTATACTTTCCACATGAGATGTCTCTTTTGTGGCTTCTGCCAGTGAAATAAATCTGATCATGTATGTCATCGGCATTATCCTAGGTGGTGTTGGTTCCAATGTGTAAAAGATCTGGGTTGGCTGATGCTGCTTTATTTGAGCCATAGCATAAGGGTAGATGTTGTCAATCTTCGCGCCCGGTTTAGACGAATATTTTACTCGCTTGGTGCGCGACAGTCTGTGACCCCTTATGTGTTTAACCCATGGAGTCACTGATGATTAACCCCAACACTCCTCAGTCCTCCAACAGGTGAAGGATNAGCATAATTCTTCTGTTTGATAGCTGGTGCCTGATTTGCATACCGTTCTCCTTGTTCTTTTCTGTACTGATCGAGTTGCTGCTGAAAGGTTATGGATTCTGAGGTTGGACTCATTGCCTTCTTATTGATGTCATCTTGTGAGCCCATCAAGATGTCATAATAGGAATCAATTAACTGCTCTGCGTCATGCACAGTATCGCCATTCGTGCCACTATCCAGTGAAAGAACAGAAAAACGATTCGCTGACGTCACTAGGCGTTCGAGGGTACTCGGAAGGGGCACTCCGACAGGTGGCTCATTTGTTTGTGAATTGGTGGCACACCCTGCTTTGTCACTGTTCATTAGAATATCAATGGTGGCCTTAAGATCTTGGCATTTCTTCTCCAATTGATGAACCGTCTCATTGTCGGAACAGAAATTACAGAATTTGTCAAAAATTATTGAAAATTTAGCCTCCATAGCTTTGATATTACACTGCATCTCATCAACAACCTTTAGAATAGTCTTGAACTACATGTAGCATTGGTCATTCAAATCAGAGGATGCATCACCCTTTTCAGATGAATTTAAGGTGGTCAACGTCCTTCCTGTTACTTTCAAAAGTGACTTAGATTTTCCCTGATGGCAGCTATTGCACAGACAGGCTTTAAGAAATGTGCTTCTGTGGCCAAATATGAATAAACAGAGCTCCTTAATATCATCAGCAGTTGCCTCGAGAGATCGGCAAAGTTTCACACTAAGACTTGACTTGGGTGGTTGCCATCTTGAAATCTTGGCTGCTTGCGGTATCTGTCCCTGGCTACTTCAAAAATAAATGCCCTTGTCTCAAGCAGCTCATCTAAATTAAATTCGGTTGTCAGCTGACTCTTAATAGATTGCGTAGGCATGTGCTTCAATGCAAAAAGGATAGAACAAATTTTTATGTTGATTCTACCGTCCATTTTGGACAACAGATCGGGAGCGTCAGCACCGTTGGCGTGCATTTGTAGTCGGTAACTTGAATTACATAGTAAATCGTGACATTACGCTTTTTGATGACATGTTTTAAACTGATGACATTGTTTATTTTGCAAACATCTTGCTTACAGATCTCAAGGTGTGATAAGTTTAGAAGGTTATCAAAGCCAACAAATTACCTCTCATAATTTCTTCAGAATAAAAAAAATTGTTTTGGTACATGTAACTTGAAATTTTAGTGTCATGTCCACCTTCCCATGGAATTGCCCCCAGCAGCTTCCTTCATCTTGGGTAGCCGTGCTTCTGATATGCACTGTACATGTAACTGCAGTTATGCTGTATTTCAACCCTTAAACCTATTACATCATACAGAACAGATTTATCTCCTTTCACTTCAGCAGCAGCGTGAAGGATACCTATAACCATGGTAACACACAAAGCAAGTAAGAAAATTGAAATATTTGTTGTCCTGCTTCAGACTGCAGTGCTACATTGTAGGGACAGTATAATTAATATACCCCAGCCTGTAATGATAAAATCAAAGATTAATTTGCTGGAATCAACTCAAGCATTATAAGGAGGTAAACCAGGATAAAACAAAGCCAATTTAGTGCAATGAATTATCTATGCAAGGGCTATTTGTTCAAGTTGGCAAAAGGAAGACTTACAGTAAATGTCAACCTTTGCGGAATATTTTGGTCTCAAGATCCCACTTTGATTTTACTTGTCACCCTTTATAAACCATGCATTCGAGGGGATTTTTGACAGCTGTCGCCTGCACTTGATTCTGCAAGTTACTGGGTTCCAGTAGACATGAAATATGAGCTCAATTCATCTATTTTCTGTCTTTATTACCAGGTCAACGCTTTGCCATGATGGAAGAGAAGGTCATTGTGTCTTCTGTCCTGCGGCATTTCAACATTGAATCCATCCAAGCGCGGCACGAAGTCTTACCAATTTCAGAGCTGATTCTACGCCCGAGTAAAGGCATCCAGGTCAAACTTACCCCTCGAGTCTTCAATGGCCCACAGTAGATATTTCATCACAGTGTTTTATGCAAATTTGCTTTCACATACAGGAAAGGTTAAACAGAAACCACGGAAAAGAATGAATTTGGTTTAAACTAAAGTTGGATAGAAGTTGTTTGAGAACTAATACAGTGTACATTCTATGCTGATATTCAGACTGGGAATATATGCTCTTTCAAATTTGCAATCAGGTCAATGAAAAGATTGAACTAATATATCAGGGTTGCTCTTTTAAATGTGTTGTGCAATGCAATTAGAGATTTGTGGTTTTGGTTGGTGTCATTGTTCATTAATATTGAGTTGGAAGAGAAGTGGCCAGCAAAAACAGAATGTTATTTCACACAGCTTAAGGGAACACTTTGTACATGTAGATAGGAATTGGGTGATAATGGCTTCCCAAAGGCCATTTTTGTTACTTTTTCAGTAGAGTAATATCCACATGTTTGAATGGAGTTACTGGTTCTTTGACCAGTTGATTGAAATGCACCTTAGAGTCACAGTTTGATTCTCTGATGTCAGTTTTAGTTTATATCTGTTTACTCTTTTCAGAACTAGTATTAAGTCCACTAGCATAAATGGTATGTACACATTTTTGAAGGTTGTAGGGCTATGTCTAATTCTTGTGCATTTCCCAATTTAAAAAGGGAAGCATGGCTTGTGGCAAAGACACCTCCCCTATCCATTTAATGTTTCTTTTCTGATCAAATCAACAAGGAAATCCAAACATCACACATGTTCTGTGGCTTTCAGCAAGCTGACAGTGGTATTTTCATGGCATGTTTATCCACATTTCAACCAAGAAGTGCATTTATTACATCGTAATACATGTACATGTACTTGTTCAAGTAACCTGTACATTTACCATTTTATGAGGGCATGCACAATTCATCCATTTGTGCACGTAAGGAAAATACTTTTAAAGATGTGATGGAATCACAACTTCTGTATTTTGCGATATCTGGCCTTGTTTGCATCAATGAATACATAATGATTCCAAAAAGAATGCACACTTTCCACTTCAATCAGTGCTTTGTAGAAAACAGTCTTGTACCAATAGTGGTGATATAGATGTACAACTATGTTCGTCACTTTTCAGTATAAACTGCCATTTGAGTTAAAAAAGAAAATAGTACTTGGAGAGCCAAATCGGTGAGGAAAAGGGAGGCACTAAATTCAAATATAATTCAAATCTGAAAAAATACCGGTATGAAAGTCAGTTTACTTACAATCAATGTACTTTCAAATTATTTAAGGAGTTACTTTGTGGATTGTGCTTTTGTTATCAGAACCACCTTCACCCTCCGGTGCTCAATTACACATTCCTTAATGCACCTTTCTTGATAGACCCACAACATTATGACATAATGCATTGTTTACCGTGGTGCATTGTGGGTGAAAGGTGGGGATGTTGAAACGTGAATCAGGAATTTTTTTTTCGTGTCAGCCTGAGGTCGATACACACGCCATTTAGTATACGTTACACATAACATGTCACGTTGACGCATTCCTGCAACATCCCCACCTTTCACCCACAATGCATCATTATGTTGTAGGTCTATTGGGTGTTGTACTCTTGCAGTACCAGAAGTACTAGAGGAATCTAATATTACAGTGGCTCATTGACGTCAAAGTTACTGATCTATACATAGGATGAAAGGCTGTATATTGATAAGCATGTGTACACTGCAGGGTGAATGTATAAATATTGTTTGCTTTGAGTGGAAAAACCAAAGAGAAATAGAAAGATTGAAAGATCCAACGAGGGAGGCAAAATTTGTCTTTCTTATAGATCGATTGCACCAGCTACATGTAAGTCACAAGACCTACATGTAGAGTGGGTATCAAACATCAACAAACATGACATCCTTCCATAGCAATGTGTGTCGCAAGTCTTGTTTACCAAAACTAATGCCAATTTTCAGTACAGTGCTCTGTACATCAGTGGTCCGAGTACTTTACCGACCGTCAGCTTTATTTGTGATAAATGACACTGGTGACACACTTTGCTATGGAAGGACGCTGTGTTTGCTGTTGTGCAATACCCACGATAGGTCGTGTGACTTAGCAGGTGCAATTGGTCCATTGCAATTCATTCAGGATTTGTTAAAAATAATTGTTCTAACTGAATGACGAGTTATAATTTTAACAATTTTTCAAAGAAGAGTACTGAGAATGATCTGTTTTAGTTTTACTACCGATATTTAGTTTCCAGGTTGGCAGTATCTTTATAAAAGAAAAGAGATTGTTCAAAATTTAAGTAAAGTTTGATTTTTTTTTTATTGGAGACAAATACCTATTCCAAAGCAAACCATGTTACTTTCTCTTATTTCTTGTTATAAAAAAAGGAACAAAAATTGGAATTTGAATTAAGAATTGGAAATTAAAGAACAACCCAGGTAAAATACATGTAGCTGTCGTCACTTTAAATCAAGTTAAATAAAAACTCATAATTAATAACCATTTAAACCAGCATTGAATCCAGAAAGCTGACTTAAATCTGATCAAGTGGCTTGAATAGAACAAAGTCCTGCCAGCCGTGGCACATGTACATTTGTATTTCTTTCCTTGCAGGCATTAACCCTAACCCTCCTCAATCCTTCACCTGTTGGAGGACTGAGGAGTGTTAGGGTTAAAGAGCTCAAAAGATGGACATTTGCCATTTTATAAATGTGCAAAACTTCGAGAAATTACAAGCCAATTACAAAACTGAAAATAATTGGTAAAGGCCAAGTTCCGATCAAAACATGCAAACTATTCTACACTTATGGGAAAGTACACATATAAATGCACATACATAATAGATATCTGTATACATGTACATCGTTCATGTTGCATGTTCAGCCAATTATAGCACTGTGCACTCGATTCAGTTTGGTCCCTTTGGGAGCACTGTAAGGAGAATCTCCTGTACATACATGGATCAAGATAAACTCAATTTGCCAACCATGTTAAATTCTGATAAGACATGATGTTTGCACATTATTTAAGTACTGACATTATGACTGGATTTTGCAGTCGCTACATGTACAGTCTAGCTGTTTTAATCACTCAATACCTGAACATGGCCCAAGGCTTGGGATTCAACAAACCTACCCAAGGATCTGGTTGAGGATGGGCTATATGGTGAAACTGAGCACATAATATGCTATATGCCTTCTAGTTCAGCCAAGTACATGTACTAATGCACAGACATCAAGCAAGACACTGTAGACACGCTGCTAGTTTAAAATGCATAAGAACTTTTATATAGTTTATTACAATAGTATATTGCCTCCATTCCGTGCCTTCAATAGTAAAGTTCCACTATACCTTACTGAAGGGTAAGCCCAGTCTGAACCAACAGGCTACGGCTTACAGCACAAGGCATACATTTTATTTCCAGTCACAGCCCAACATTTTGGTTGCATCAACACTTAGGCTGTGTGCTCAAGCTCAGGTGCATTCCACAAGAGGTGGTACAGGTTATTTGTGCATCATGGAATGAAAACCACACTCATTTTGTGTGCACTCACTGTGTCATGAATACATGCTATCCGGTACGAGCATGTGATGTGTCCTTCCTTGCCTCTCATGAAAAGGCCACATGCACATAACACCAATATAATGAGCAAATACAGCACAGTCAACTAAGCTATCAATACATGTAAACATCTTGTGTTGCTTTTGGTCAGGAGCGCCAACAACTGCTGTGTCATCCCTATGAAGAATATGAACCCCAAGCTGGACCAAGTGAGGACAACATTTTCCTGGCAACTTTGGTGGGAACTGCACTTCACTGTTTCACAACTATGAAATGCACACATTGCTGTTGCATCACCACTAACAAAATGAACACTCCCCTCCAACATGGCTCTTTTCAACCAATGAGGGGGTGCTTCCGCTCAAGACAGATAGTCACAAGTCCTTATGAGACATGGCCATTTTGGAGGTGTATTTTTTCATTCAAATCCTACATCAATGCAAGGTTAAAAAAAATTGCCAAGGCAAGGTTAAAAAAACTGCCAAGGCCCGTCCAATGTTAAAAACTTTAACCTTGAAGATGGCCATTTCACATGAGGCCTGTAAAGCAATTCAGTATTTTAATGAGGTACCGGTATGGCTAATCAGGACAAAAGCACCTGGTCTTACAACAGCTTGAACACAGTGTGAGTTGGTCTACACTAATTCAGCATATCTGACACGTAATGTAATAAACATCCTTGACTTGCTCCATTTTGTATACTCCAATTGGAATACTACATGTAAAGTAGCTTGGTAAACAGAACAGCTCCACAAGCAAACTATTGAAACAGGCTTAGCAAATCATTTAAGACTTCCAAATTTTGAAAGGTTTTGAAAAGAGAATAAAAAAATGAAAAAATCCTGATCCATTAACTCGTATAAAAAGCAGTCACCATCTAGCCAATTACATGGGTATATGTGTTCACACCAGGGGCTGCAGAAGTACATGTATACATGAAACAAGAAGACCATCAAAATCAGTATTTGCTACTGCCATCCGGTATAAAGGCAGCTTTCCTTAGAACTAGGAATGAACAACTCTGAACTCAAAATGAATTGAAGGTTGCCTTTTTCCCACAACATTGGACTACATAATTAAGGACTCCAAATATAGCCTTATCACATTAACAAGTTCAAAACTGCATGAAAATGTAAAACTACGGTAGTTCAAATTCTCCCTGTATTTGCAAAGCCATGCTACTGCAGCATCTCTAAAGGATACTAGCAATGCACAACCATGCTTTGAAATGAAGCAGTTATCAGTGAAACCAGTTAAAGGCAGCGTGGGGCATCTTTTTTTATCTTAAAAACCTCCTTGGGTCCTGAGTAGATCTTCAAAATAGCAAATAAAGAACTGACCAACATTCTACAGACCTTCTGGTGGGAACTACTTGCTGCCGGGGAACCCCGTTTTGGGCACCTGGGTTTATGAGCCGGGCTGCCCGAAATTACACAAAAGAGCTGGTCAGTGTAAAAAAAGACCGTACTCAGAACAAAAGATGGGCTGCTAAAAATTGCCATCATATTCTGGCTTGCATTTTTCGAAGGTAATCCATCACTGTTTTTAAACATTAAAGCACTGTTTTGGGCACTGTGTGCCCGCGGATTAGCATCGCGGACAAAAGTGCTCCAGGGCCCCATTGATGAGCGACACAGCACCGTTGCACTCTAATCCAGTTGCGTTTGAAAAGATGCCACTTGCATTCACTGGGAACAAAGGAAAGTATACAACAACTCACAATTCTGGGCTCTCTTTAGAGGGCGGCAGGTCTGGCTGAAATACTCAGGAGTCAATGAAGGTTGCCTGTCCTCTTAGAGTAGTCACCAAACAGTCATTCATGTGGGTGTAAACGTCCATTAAATGAAATGATGAATTTTTGAAGAATTTTGAAAACTGAAAATCTTGAAAATGGCCCGCATGTGTGCACTGCATTTTTAAAAGCACCCGGCAGCAAGTGGTTAAGCATTGAAGGTACATGTACATCAAGCAGGCTCAACCATTTGTTTATTAAACTGTTGAAGCTTTATCTACTGTATTTACTTGCTTAGAATCATTCATCAGAACTGTCACTTTTTGGTCTTGACTATTTTGTTGTTGGCTTTTCGTGGTGGTGCCCACCTAAGGCAGGATGTGTCGACAGTCAAGCGAGGCCGCTTGTACTGGGCACTCTTCAGGTGTTCTTCCACAAGTTTGGGAGTAACACAGATGACGTGCTGCCCCTTCCAGTATTTCACCATGTTGAGTGACTGCAGGGTCGTGATGATGTCATTCTGAGCAATGCTCGTCATGTTACTGTAGCAAAGATACACATCAATTTAATAATACAAGTCAAATATCATTCAGAGTGATCCTTGTCTTTTGCAGAAGTACAGTACATGTACATGTCACTCACGGTAAACAGTTGAACTCTCAGCCATGCTTCACTGCCTGTATGCACCCCAATGTCCAGATGCATACACCCCTATCCTGTGTGTGTGATTTTTTTATGTCCAATTACAAAGGAATCACTTAGTCACAAGTCTCAGTAACATACTAAAGCTCAGAATCCTTAAAAACTTGCTGCTGGGGAGCCAAGTTTCAGGCACTTATTCTTTATATGCACAGCCAAGGTGTCCGAAATCAGACAAAGGGAACCGGGCCTTTAACAAAAGACTGTACTCGTAACAAAAGACCAGGCTATTGGGAATTGCACTGTACCAACATTTTTCCACCGTCAATAGTGCAGAGAATCCAGCATTTTTTTGAAACAGTATACCACTGCTTGTGGTATTCAGTGCAAGCAGATTACAACCAGGGATAAAAGCACTCCACTGCTGCAGCAATGAGCCACACAGTACTGCTGCGCCCTAATCTGGCCCCTACTGAAAAGATGTCAGTAGCTCACTGTGCCAATCTGGGCTCTTTTTATAAGGCAGCAGGCCTGGCTGAAATACTCCGTCAATAGATGTTGTCTGTCAGATTAGAGTAGGCACAAGACAGTCCTTTGTGTGAGTGTGAGAGTCCAGTAAATGAAGATATGATTTTTTAAAGAATTTTGAAAACAGAAAAAAATGAAAAATATCCCAGCCCAGCATCATCAACATTTATAAATACACCTGGCAGGAAGTGGTAAAAATCTTTCTTTCTGGTGAGTTACACCCATTTCAAAAGCATTTGTACATTTTGCTATTTCATTGTCTGTAATCCTTTAACCTTACCTGAGGTCTCGGATTGAGAGGGTTCCTTTGAAATCTCGGAGTATTTCTAGCAGGACCCAGGACCAGTAGCTTCTATAGCTTAGCTTACCAAGGTCAGACAGAGGCTTCTCTGGCGATCCCACAGTACCTTCATATTTAGACAACTCATAGCCTTGGGAATAAAAAGATGCATGTAAACTACAATGTAAATCCACCCTGTGTACAACTTTATCTCAATAAACAGACCAACATGCACACCATTAGCACCGTGTGCAGGGCAATTAGACCTAGATGCTGCAGATATGCCAAATTACTGGTTTGTATTCTATGCCACATGTTGCCAAATGGTGTGTTTCTCAAGGGAAGATTCTGCTTAAGTTCTCGTCCCCTTTGATTGGCCAAAAGTATAAAATACAGTAATATCTACATTATTATTACTTTACTACCGGTAGGAATACCAAAGGACTATCACAGCAGCCTTGTTTTGAAAGGTAATACATGTACAAGTTATACAAAATCCTTCCCCACGTTAAGTGTGGGTTGGGTCTACCAGAGAATACCTACCCGAACAGTCACTGCATATGCAAATTTCCAAGGTGACTTGTTACCACAAAATGAGCTGAAAGTCTGTATTTTCAAAAATTGATAGGTTGGTATTTTTAATTAAGCAGAAAAAAAGCTTTTCAGTAGTTTACACATGGAACACTTACGTTAAATGTATCAGGTGACAATGACATTATTCTGGCAGCTTTGCGTCTTTGTTCTCCGCATATTTTCACCATATCAGGCCAAGCACAAATAATGCTTTTGTCAAAATTGCTGAGAAAATGACCTTTTTCAATATATGACCCTGTGAAATATTTGGAATTAATAAGAGACGGGTTATTCTTTCCAAATATTACAAAACCTGAAAATTGAACTCCACGTCAATAGGACTTTAAACCCTTAAAACAACAAAGAGTGAAATGCAACTTTACTCTCATTTTGTTGTGACAGGTCACAAATAGATTTTGGACACACCCACTTTGGAGTGAACGTGTGCTCGGACAATGTGTGTTATGGCAGGGCCACATGGCAGAATCTGTGCTCACAGGGGCCACAGAATGGTCACTCTGCAGATGACTAGAATTGTACATCTACGTGGTGAGACGCAGTGGAAATAGATTGGCAAAATTTCTCCCGCAGGGCCCAATGGGGAAACCCCAAATTACGGGGTGCCAAGGGGTGTGTGAAAATCCCAACAGCTTGAAGAATGTTAGGTTCGAATGCCTAGGGATGCGGACTGGAAAGATGCAGCAGTAGGTCTGCGTCACGATGACGAATTCACCGTCACAGAAGTGAAAAAGATAGGAAGACTGCCTGGAAAATGTTACTTGCTCATTCCTATTTGGGTGCCCAGTGACGTAGTCTCAAATGCCGGTAGGTTTAGACTTGCAGTGGTCATAACATATCACCAGGTAAGACATGGACTCACTTCCCCGTGGCCTGGGCAGGAGTACCGATAGCATCAAGAGCAGCTCCAGAAGGCTGTGACGGAGACTCGAGATTGGGTCTGCATATCAATGGCATATTCACCGGGTCAGTGATCCAGGAAGTTGGCCCGGAAATTGCCATCGTGTGGGTTACGTCTGGATGCTCATGCCGTAGATATGTCGGATGCTAGGTCGCATTTGCATGTAACGGCCGCCTGGAAAAGCGGGGCAGTGGCTCATGTTCATTTGATCAGGGAGCCTGATGGACTCTCACAGTACATGTATAATTGAAGACAGGTAAGATGAGCATTGATAATACAAGGTCATATTTACGACAAGGAATTTTTTTTACTTTCCATAACTGACAGCACAAGGAATTTGTACAGTTCCAAGGACCTTGTTATAACGGTGTTCCACTGTGTTTAACAGAGTAGTCGTCTCCAAGACATTCTTCATGAAGGCTTCAGATAAAGGGAAGGCGACGAGGAGATGTTGCCCGGCATTGTGTACACCAGGGCTGCTCCGGATTACATGAAGGGAACGGTCCGCTAAGGCGAAGAGCCTACTTCACAAATGAGAGCCCCGTAAAAGAGTATCTGAAGACATGGGGCAGTCTGTTGACTGGCATGGGCGTGATCGGTGTCTTCCTGTGGAAAGGAGGCTGACGGAGGATACAGAATCTGAAATCGATGTTATCTTCAACCAAACACACAGTCACTTTCATTCAACTGAAGTAAGGCCATGCTATAGTCAAGAGCCGAGGGTGCCCCGTAAATTGGCGGGTGGTTATGCGGAAGACTGTCCGGCTGGAGCGGACTCGCACGTGTGTTAAGTTCTGGCTAGACGACCAAGCGGGTGTTTTTGGAAAAATTGGCCCAGAAGATTCCAGTCATGCCATGTCATTTAAATAAGTCGTAACTGATGTCCTCCTCTGGCAAAGCGACTAACGGCAGGGCGAGCACTTGAACCATGTCTCACTGAAGAAGACAGAGGCAGTAATCGGACGGAGTGAGGGTGCTGATGGAAGCAACTTCATTCTTCTCAGAAGAAATGTTGGTTGCCCGGTCGGGGACAGGGCAGTGCCTCATTGCGAGCCATGCACAGTTCCTTGCGGGAGTATGCCTGGCTGGTGGAATTCTGGTGTGGAACCCTGCCCGATGTAATCATGGCTTGTGTCCGGAGAGGGTAGAAGAGCCTGGTCTGCCAGAAAAAGGTCCGGGGCGGTGGAGGCTGATGGCAGTTTAACTCCGAGGCGGCAAGTGATGGAGGTTGGAATATTATTGATGGACTGGAAGGCTGACATTCAAGTCGCAGAGGTGTGTTCATGGTGGTCGAGGAATTTGATGAAGATGAAAAGCACTTGTCTTTCCTGGTGGTGGGCGACTCGACGGTAGAGGTACAGTAACAGACGGGGCAGCAGGAGACGAAACGTCCATGGTGTGTTCCCAGTCAAAGTCAGCGGGAACTGCAGAATTGCGGGCAGAGGGAAAAGGAGAAAAAGGTCTGATGACCCAGTAATGCCCAGTTGAAAGCCAGAGCTGCAGATGGGTTAAGGTTGCTTGAAGCCCCAGCAGTGTAAGAACTCTGGTAAGCTCCGCGGGACCCAAAGAGGGATTAGCGGGTGTCGGGGTGTCATGAGTCGCGCACCAGGAGGGCAGGCCCCTGCACTTGCAGGGAGCCCGGCCCATTGACTTACACGGGAGTATGACAGATCCTGATAGCGACCCCATGAATTCAACCGGCCAAGGCCTATAATTCATTGGTAGGGTAGACACAGCGTGGCTGGAACGAACCTTGTAGTACCGACGGTAAACACCTGCAGGGTGCACGTACAAGAAAACTGAAGAAAGAACACAAAAATATACACGAAAAGAACACTCTTACCAAGAAATGGATAAAACCCAAGTTATACTTTATTTACAAAGGAAAGGTGATCAAATCGACACAGAACCGTGTAGCGAAAATGGAAGCTCTATAAATCGAAGATGCCTTGAAAGACACGTCCATTACGTTACGGTGCTGAGAAAAGAAGGACGATCATGACGGCGAGGGCCGCGCTGCATTGTAGGAGGTCAGGGTGCACCACAGGTGATCAAATCTTTTCAACAAATGAATAATAGGCGCATGGGATATTTGCATACATAGTGACTGTTAGGTAGAGCACCCTAGACTAACATGTTTTTGTTTGTCTAGTTTGTCAATTCCCAATACCTCGGGCAACTAGCATTGACTGTCCAACCAAAACAAACCATGTTATATTACACCTCATACATATTTTATTTGATAACCTCTGAAAATAAAAACATCATCATGAAAGAAAAGAGAAGTCCAATCCTGTTGCAACACAGAATTGCACAGTCAAGCCGCTTTTAATTTTAAAATCGTTACTGTTATTGTCAAAACAAGGGATATGACAATGATTTGCAAAGCTTCTGCTCAAAACCCCCCGGAAATTTGACTTTTAACATGTTTAAGTCATGGAAATCAAATGAAACACCACAGAACATTTTTATGACATCAATAAATTCATTTCAAGATTCACAAGCTAAAAATGATAAGAGACATTTGATGAAAGAAATTGGATTGATTTCTGAATACTCACTGAATGCTATCAGGAATTTGCCATAACCCTTTCTCTGGAATGGTGGTAGTATCAGGATGCATGCAACATTGTTACCATCAGGGGATTCCTTCTCCTGTAAATGTAAGCAAACATAACAACTTGTCTTAAAGACAGATTACAGAAAACAAAAATGCATCCAATTATGAAGTACCTTCCGTTTTATCAGATTAAACTAGAAAGCTGAGCCAAGAAAGGCTAGTGATGGTGGATTTAAGACATCTGCACGAAAGCAGGAGGTTGATGGTTCAAGCCTTGCCCAAGCTACATGTACATCGCCCATGAATGCCTTTTCTTGCAAGCTCTCAGACGAAGGTGGTTTCGGTGATGCAGCAATGCAAGAGTAAATTACTACCTCAGTGAAAGCAAAACCCGTACTTTGAGGTCAGGTTAATTTACGAGAAAACTTCAGGCAAATCAAAGGTGAAACGGTTACAACAATACTAAATTTAAGGTTTTTTGTTTAAGCTCACCTTTGAGAAGTAGCCAACAAGATGAGCACCTTGCCTATCCACCTCGGTCAAAACATAAAACAGGAATGGCTCCACATCAAAGTACAGCGTCTTGTGGTCTAGGAAGAGCTTGGCAAGCAGACACATGTTCTGGCAGTACACCTGTGAGTATGACAACATTCAAAACTCTAAGAGCTATGGTACTGAAAACTCATTACTTCTCTGCAAAACGTCACTGCCCCTTCAACTGTTTTTGGGCCTGGGACATATGGGTAGGTGAAGAGCACAGAACCTAGACCAGAGTAAGAGAGATACAGTCCAATTCATAATTTATCCGGTAGGTTATATATTGAGCAGCTTGAAAGGCTTGATTATCGAGCTGCTCAATGCCAATTGAGTCCATGCTCTCTGATAGATGTCTGCTGGAATCCCACTTGATGTGCGCTCGAATCCTGCAAAATCTGAGCTTAATCTCTGCTCGATCACTGCTTGGTCCCTTCTCAATCCAAGATTGATCTCTGCTCAATGTGCCATTGCTGGTCACTCGATAAAATCCACTCGATTCACGCTTGATGAAGACTTCAGACAGGAGTCTGTATGCCGCCCCCGCCCCTATCAGTCAGCCGGCCACACGTGCAAGCAGTGCAGCGATCTTAGGAGATGACAAGGCAGTCATATTTTCGTTGGTTGCCATTTCCATTGCCTTTACTAACATGTTGGAACTGAAGGAAACCAGTCCAGAGTGACCGATCAGACTTGTAAATGTAGCATCAGTACTGTTCACACCTCACAAATCGTGTGGTGCATCTGTTCATTTTTGTTGTTTACAGTTGTACAGTCCATGCTGTTTATTATTTCACTAGCAACTTTGAAACTACTGCAAAAAGAACTACTGCATGGCCCCCCCAGCAAGACAGTTTTAGGATTTAATCCAGCCCGCAAAAATTGTTAATTGTGAGGACTTAAGAGAGTTGAAGTTTAATGACAACTTCCGTTCTCACGCTGCTTACACTTGGAGACTGCGTACCCGAATGTTCGGCACTTTGAATTTTCGCTTCTAACATTTGTGTACGGGGCAATATTTTACCTCCCACTTCACAAAAGGTGAAATTTAATGAAACTTCAAATATTCTGATTCACAAATGCCGATTTCATATACAGTGTATACCGGCTATGAAGTCCTGATGAAGTTTTATTTTGGTATGAAGTTCCAATTTTTTTTTTTTTTTGAAGTGCAAAATGAACTCTTAAATGCAGCCTCCATTTTTGTTTTTTTTTTACTTTTAGTAAGTGAATGGAGGAATAATGATTTACTAGTACTAGAATTTATCAATTTTATAGAACTTCTTAATTTTTTGTGGGATTTTCTGAGATTTTTTAAGGTGACAGGTTAGGGGACACTCAGCTGAATTCTTGCCTACTTTCCCGACATCAACGTGTTTTAACTTTGGACAAAATTTCATGACGTTGAAATTGTTAATGAAGGTTGGAAAGTCTGTTTTATAAAGGTAACAGCAGGTAACAGTAGCGCACTGTGCCAGCTTCGTGAACAAAAGAAAATTACAGGACACCGCACAATCTGGGCTCTTTTTACAAGGCAGCAGGCCTGACTAAAATACTCCAGCGTCAATAGATATTGTCTGTCAGATTAGAGTAGACCAGACAGTCCTTCATGTGGGTGTAAGATCTGAATTTCTGAAGAATTTTGAAAACAACAATAACTAAATTATCCTGTCCCAGGACTATCAACATTCATAAACACCCCTGAAAGATTTATTGACTATCCTATTAACATGTACCCAATAAGGAAGTCATTAATTACCGAGAAATTATTTGTATCTTTAATTTGTTCTTCTCATTAATAGATTTGATTGCTTTTAAAATTCATCTAGTATAATATTCACATTTTCATTGAAGATTTATCATATATGTTCCTCTTTATTCTTTACTACTTGGATCCATGTACTGTACTGCATTCTTGATATTTTGTTGCTTGATAGCTGTACAACTGGTTCATTTTTCACAACTTTTTCATGCTGTTTCTTCTGACAATTTAAATAACTGTCCAATTAAGATCACAGCAGTTTAATCCATTATGAGTGGGGAAGATTGTGCATGTACATGTAGACATCAGGAAGTTTTTGTTCTCTGTGGTTTCAAACATGCGCATCTCTGAATATGGAAAGTGGAGTAAAATCAGTCTGAGAGAAAAGTTCTTCGATTCTCGGGAATATTCAGATTACTTGACGAAGGCAGCATTAAAATGTTTCTCGCTTTTGAGCAAAATACATGTACAATGCGACAGGCGAAATCAAAACTGGCTATGGTGGAGGTAGGAGACAAGCACTGAACACCGAACAGCTAAATTACAGTAGATTGCCGTTATATAGCGCTGTCTTACATGTCTTATAGGCATTTAAATTAACCCACTTGGAAGTTGGATGGATGCTCAACATGTGCACCGCATATGTGCAGATGTACAGATATCCACATGTTGTCATGTATGTGAATTCCATTTACATGTATTGGCAGATGTATGTACTGTGATTTTGGAATAAATGCCTTGTATCCGGTTATCTCGACGTTTTCGTGACGCCGACCAAGAACAAATCTCTTAAACTGCCACAAGACCTCGTGCATGCCGCACCGCATCGTGAAACACACACTGCATCTACACCTACATGTATCCCGACATCCTGACTGCTACTACATGCCCATTCATGGACAGTCCAATCGCTGACTTTTTCCAATAACCATGTGACCACAGAAAGTAACATGTCATCAGAAACCCAAGTGAAAACAGATCCGATGTGTCACACCGAACAATCGGCGAAAAGACGAGATTTGCTACATGAAGATACACGTACTGTACAATTTAAGCAGTTGATTTTATTTGTCGATCGAAAGAAACCTTTTGGTAACAAAATACTACATGTAGTATTTCTTGTAGATTTTTTTATGTGCCAAACTGCACCACGAGAATAAATAAAAAGTGGGCAAATAACCCATGTCGCCCCAGCAGGGCAAGTTAAGTTTGTTGTAATACGCACATTTCATGTGCTTCGTGACTTGGGAACTCCCGTTTAATCACTCAATATGCAGAAAACTTTTTAAATATTTATTCTCCAACATTGACGAGTGTTTATTTATGGTAATCCAAGAAAACAACTACGCCACGCGGGCACGGCTCGCCGTGGTGAGCACATCCCCGCAACACCGCTAAATGGACCTGACGGCTCGGCCGAGGAAATCGCTACAACAGCACACTCCGACTGGTGAGTTGGCCCCGACCAGCCCCAAGAGCAGCGCAGCCTGCTTAATGGACTCTTCACTGCATAATAGTCGTGCCCGTGTGGCAAGTATTGAACATTTTTGCTGCACAATGCTTCTCACTTTCGCAAGTTTCCGCATGATTTTCGGAACCTTTCGCACTGCTTTTGTAAAATTTTCACACTGTTTTTGCACACTCTTTTTTTCTGAACGTTTTCGCAAATGTTTCACGCCGTGTTCACAAAAGATTGGCACCGTTTTCGCACAATTTTCACACTGTGTCCACACGTTGTTCGACCCTTTTGCATCCGATTCGATGCAAATTTGCAGGGGGGAAAAGTTGTGGTCAAAATGCGAAATCCTTTCGCTTTTTTCCCGTTCCTTTTCGCAGCGTTAACTTTCAAATGCAACGTACTGTACATGTACAGGTACTTACATGTATGTTTAGCAAAGTTATACTAGCCATCAGGCCAAGCAGGGCTTTAATCTGCACTTCAGAGCATAGTGAGATGACTTGTCATCAATTTATCTGGCTTTATTACATGTACATGTAAGTTGCTTTGTGCCATAAAAATACCTCCCCAGATTTGCTACAAATTGGTATATCCTACTGTACAAGAATATAACATCAAATCAGTGCTCTGAAATGTGATTGCCAAGCTTTCAATAACTGAGTACCTTCTTCAGGGCAAGCAGATTCAGTTATCTGCTTGCCCTGAAGAAGGTACTCAGTTAACGAAAGCTTGGCAATCACATTTCAGAGCACTGATTTGATATTATATTCTTGCTGATATTCTGATTCAAGGTGCTAAGCAGCCCTTCTATATACATGTATATATCCTACTGTACATACAGGTACATGTACATGTAACTCACCTGTCACATCTGGCTCAAGAAAATCTGCAGATCTGCTCACCACTGAATGGCAAGAGAAATTATTTTACACCATGTAAAATGGTACATCAACTGCTACATGTAAATGTGGGCTGGGCCAAGTTATTCTCAACTCGCGTAAACTGTCAGCTTCAAATCTCATGACAGAAACACACTCCAGTTTTCATATAGGTATTTACTCAATGTTAATTGAATACACACCTTATGGTCTTTGCCATCAACTTCATACACTGAAATGCTTCCCTTTCTGTAGATTTCCCTGCCTGGTGGCTGTCGTCGAGTACATTCACCCTGGAAGAACCACAACCAACCAGTAAGTTCATCAATACAAGACATGCAGTTAATTCAGTACCAAAAGCCATGTTTGAGTTCAGCTCGGCCTTCAAGAGGCTAACTATTAGATTGTATGCCACTGAAATAATAATGGGTCACTTGCATAATATGTTTCCCTTCTTTATCAGTATCGTTCTACTTGTAAAAATGTTAAACAATTCCATGGTAATTCATAATTTTTAAAACTTATTTCGCCTTTATGACTTGAATAGCAATAGGCCTGTGCCGCGTACCCATGTACATACCTGCCCGAGGATATCAAAACCCGGTTCCATTTTTTCAGGCCCGGTACCCATAAAAAAATTTGAAAAAAGCACATGTAACTAAATTAGGAACTAAAATCCATGTTTAAGTTGTCTGTGAAATTGAATATTGAAGGGCTAAATTGCTGCTGACAACTTAGTAACTGCAGTTCAGACTTCAGAGATCAACAGAGCTACTTTTATTACCCACTCTGCCTGTTGTACTACCGGTACAGTTGTTTTCTAGTTTCAGATTTTCCCTAGTTCACTGGAGCGAAATCACAGGAAAAAAAACAACCTAAATGTACAGGGCAATACTGGTAGGTCATTCACCACCAGTACGTGTGATTCCAAATACTTTCTTACATTGAGCAGTCATGTAAACTTTGGCATCTAATGTCTGTTTTATCAAAATGACTTTAAGCTCTTTTACAAATTGAACAAAAACTGAAAGCTTTCCCATATACTTTGGGATCGTGCAGCATTACGTGCACACAAATTCATTTCGATCTTTAACTACATGAGTGTAGCAGAAATGTATGTGATGTAATGGGTTCGTCAACCATGTCCACTGTGTGGTGCGGGGGGAAGTACCTTTGATGGCTCACTGTACAGCTGAAAGTCCAGTCAAAATTTACACAATTTCTACTTTTCAATTCATTGGAATTCTTGTTTTTGAACTAAGTTTTTTAAAATTAAGAAATTCTTCATTAAAACGTAACCTTTTACAATGTTCTGGCTGCAAAATGGATTTTTCGTGTGGTTACTTTTATTTGTGAAGTTTTTGTCACAATCCGAAACCAATCCAGAACTAGGAAAGGTGTCGTCATCACTTCTGTCGATCCTGTGAGTCCAAATTTAAAAGCTTAGATTTTGAAAATAATTTTGAGTTATCTACAAAACACTAAGTGGACTACTGATCATATTTCACTAGAATTTGAGGATAGCTGATCTTACTGAATAATTTTCACGATCCGGAACTACATTTACATGTAGGAAAATGACTGTACCAAACCTGTGACCAAACCTGGCAGAAGGAATCTTGTCTTCTGAGGTGGCCGCACTGTTGATGTATGCTTGCATGACTGTATATGTAACTTACAAACCCTTTCGGCCTGAAGTGGTAGTGCTTACTGTTTTGAGTTAAGAGTAGTTTTGTTTAATAAAACAATATAAATGAAAATTAAGTTATGTCAGGGTTGACAACTGAGCGAGAGCGGACCAACAATATAGCAGCGGTACTGAGACTCCACACACGTGGGGTAAGTAGTGATCACGCACAAATTGTGCAGTTGATCAGCTCCTCACGATTAGATGGTAACCACAGCATTGAATGTGCTGCATAAACCGAAAGGGTCAGAGAACCAGTTTAGTTTTTGATACCAAGAAACATGCCATTGTTGTTCTCGTTTTTAGTTTCAAAATTAATTTTAAATTAAAGCAACATAAATTAGAAAAAAAGCAGGAAGAAAGGACATTCTGCATATTTGCGAAAGCATTTCAAATCTAAGTGTTTCTTTTATTCAAAAAAAAAGGAAATGTTGACAGGTCATGATAGAGTTCGCTGGTAAAACGTCACTTGTCAAAGCACTTTTTACAGTGACATCTCAACAACTTTAACCTTATTAAATTAAACCACTTTATTATATTTCCTTCGCGTGGCAAAACTTTTGTATCGCATAGTCTTGTTTACAAAGTGAAGCACTGTAGTCACATGACCTTTCCTTTTGGCTGCTGTAGTGTCAGTGATTAGACTGCCTGAAGGGGACTACAATTAGTTCCGTGGTAGCAAACAGGCTACATGTACATGTAGCTTCAGTAGCTTGAAAGCCAGGATTTGTTTAACATTCAGGTAAGGTTGGTTAATGCAACGAGGATGCAACTGCTCCCAGTGAGAAAAAAAAAAGCGCTTGGCAGTGATGACTGTTAACCCTAGACTTATGTTACTTTCATTGCCATTTGAAGCATTTTGGTGGCAGATTCTTGAATCAGAAACTTGAAAATAAGTGGATATACATGTAATGGTGTGGGCATTGTTTAACTGATACAGTATACAGAGTATTTTGATCTTCCTTGTCAAAAATTTTGTATTCTGTTTCATACACTTACAAGAGGATTTTGCAAATTGAGGGTAACAATATCGTTTAATAAAAAGATAGGAGAGATTAACCCTGACATTTAGAATAGAAGCATATGGTCTCGTGATTAGGGTTTGTAGCTTCTGATCATAGGGTCGACAGTTCGAGCCTAGCTGGTGGCAGCATGTTGTGATCCTGGGCAAGTCACTTTACTCCTACTGTATATGCCTCTCTCCACCCAGGAGTAAATGGGTAACTGTGAGGGCAGACACGGTTATGTTTAGCTGTTTGCACCACAGTTTCATCGTTTCACCATGCTGTACTAGCTTTGTGTCTCAAGACGTCTATGTGGATTCACAGACCGAATTCCCCATGTGTGCAATAATCATACTGAACCGGTATGTGAGTATGAACTTGTATGCGCCTTGATTTCATTGCAAGTACGGTGCACTTGAATGGCCAATGTGTGTGCCGTACTGCGCTGCTGTGCTGTACCAGCTGCCGCTGCAAACATGGGGCTAACACACGCCGTAGCGCTTGCAAGTATCGGCACCGGCACGGACAACCCAATCATGTGGTGGAGTGGTGCAATTTAGCATTTTTCCAGTATAATTCGTTCACTAAAAGTAAACATTATATTAAAAGGGTTTGGTAGGCATTTTTAGAGGAAAAGTTTGCAAGTTCCATTTCAAGCAGTGGATTCTGTTTTAAAGTGTTGATTCCATGAATTCCGTCTGTTTTCCATGATCGCAGAAAATCATTGGCTTTACATGCGATGAGGCCTCAGCTGTAGGAGGGTTAGCAGGTAGGCCCAAACTCTGGGTCAAATCCTTCTGCAGGAGACAGACAAGTCTTCGTAATTGGAGGACGAATCACGATCCACTTGAAGGGAGACGTCACCTGTTGTGCCATGGTCATGGGTTGCAGCCAAGTATGAGCCATAGATGGAACTCAAACCCAGATACAGTAGGTTGAAGATTGGAAGCCGTCGTGTAAGTGACAACGGAGCCGGATGCGGAGCCAGATGCAGATAAAGAGTCGGATGGAGATTTAGATAGGGCTCCGCATGCAGGGGATCCGGATCCGGGGCAGTTGCCGGGGGAGTAGGGTTCAACTCAAGGCAGCTGGCTATTGTGGATTGTAGACAGTGTCTCTGATAGAGAGCTGACTGCCGACTTCAACTCAGTTGAAAAAAGGTCTTGCTTGGATGCAACATGGGACTAGAGAGCGCACTACGTTTGATCAAGTTTGTAGCGAATGGAATCAGACGCAAAGGAAGTTTGATATTTAGTGACTGTTCGGGGTGGGTTGAAAGCAAAAGACTTTGAAGGATAAAATCAACCAAAAAGTCACAGCCAGGCCATGCGTACATACATGTATACCCCGAGCAGGTGGTGCAGTCATGTTTTCGTTGGTTGCCGTTTACATCGGAGAACTTCAACATCGGAGAATAAATAAAAATTTGAGTTGTCCGGATTTCAAGTTATTAACAAAATTTCCCAAGTCATAAAGTCAAGACACACATACATGTACATGAAATGCGTACGTAATTGTCAGCGCTGCAGTGCGGCTTATACACTGACTCTAAATCTTAATTTCCTGATTTTTGCATGCTGTGGCTTATACACCGGGCAACTTGGATGTATATTCCAAAAATTATGGTAATATTAAATCTGAATATACATACATGTAAGCACAATTGGATGTTGTGAGAATTTAGAATTGTTATGGGGCAGAAACGCCATGCGTTGGATAATGTCAATTATAAGTGAATTCTTTCCACATGCTTTTTACAACCACCTGCGTGATGCCGGGTCATCGTAAATTTACTGTACATGTGCATGTACATTTACAGTACATGCAAATGTCCTGAGCAATGGTGCAGCATTTACACACTTGTTATCCATTTTCATTGTGTTTGCTTTTTTTATCAAGTTTTCTAGCGTGCAATCTGTGCACTATCAATGCCATGCCATATTTAAGTTGATCATCCAAACCGACTAGATTTGGTTTGGTTCGGTTTGAAAGTGGCCTGTTCCATGATTTTTGGTTCCGCCCCGTGGTTCGGCTGCAGCACTAACAGCAGGGGCGCCGGAAATGGGAAACAAATCAACATTTTTCGAAACTCTGAAAGTGTATAGTGGACATTTACCTTCCATCCCAGCATACTGTTACGAGTTCAGTGTTAACTATTCACCCCTTTAATGCGAATGGACATGTCCTAGGGTTTGGTGGCACAATCTTGGGGTTTTCTTCTATGGGCATTATGTGCATGTACGTATATCCTTTTATTTAGTACAGACGAGCCCGAGTGGCGATCCAGGAATGTTTTCCTTATTGTTAGTAAATTTATATAAGGGGGTTATTACTACGAAGAGCATAACAGCAGCATTTTATTTTGAACATACGGTGGAGGTCAACTGGATTTCGAGACCCAAGATGGGAGCCATGCAGATTTACAGGGCCAGGGTTCCATGCTGACGGTGGCTGTATCTACCAGCAGTGTTTTCACGTCATCGGGATGATGACTCTACTTGCCATGCTTTATGTTGCAGATAGTTCGTTCGATTGCTGCCACATCTATGACCAGTTTCAACAGCTGTGGTGCTGGTTTCATCACCTTTCTGGTTCGAGTTTTCGGCGGGCCCGATGCTCGTTTCGTATGAGACTTTTACAAACTGAACTTTCGTTTTGCATTGGCAGGCCGACTTCTTCCACTCCTATGGACCCGGTGCTGCTGGTCAGATATCCCAGGACCTTCATGTACTGCTGCTGGTCAGGCAACATGTCGAGTTATTATGATTGTATTCAGTTGATCTTGATGTGAAAATGAATGTAATCTGTGTATTCTACATGTATGTTTTGCTGGCATATTGATGTTGTGTGATTGTGAACAGTCAGAATTTCTAGATTTGCAATTTTGAAATCTTGTTTTGTGTCTGATTTATTTTGTGTGATTGTCAATATGCAACAGTACATTTTGTACGCTTGTGAAAATGTTGATAATTGTGAACAACCCCTAAGTTTAATAATACAGGCCGAAAAAATGCACAACCGAATTTTCAGTATTTCATGACAGTTGACATTTTCTGACGTGAATTATACTGGCTGTCGGCTGTTTACATTCATCAAAACTGTGCCAGCAGAAGATAAGCATGGCATGATTGGATCTTGGTCGCGGTATCCTGGGTCATTAGAGTTCAGATCAGCAGTAGGCCTCATGAATAATTCATGTTTTTGACTCACCCATCTATGGAAAAAAATGTATGTGTCGCGACCAAGCAAATTACAACCACCCCAGTGCTTTCATCCCAACCACCAACATAAATCACAACAACTGTACGGCATCTTCAATTCAATACAGCTCCAACAAATGCAAAGCCCCTACACGTCTCAACATGCATATTTATGAAGTCCACATGGGTACTAGTTTGTTCATTGTGTTGACCCCATTTCCTTTCTTTTCAGTACGAGCTTTGCAGTTTAGTTTGGTCGTAATTTGTCACAATCAGAATGATTTCTTTTGGTAGATTTTTCAGCTGCAGGGTCAAAAACTGACAGGAAAAATCCCCACCTCACATCACATCAAATTTATATTCACGTGATTTTGAACACACTGAGCTCGAGTACGGCGAGTACAGCAACAACTTTCTATGCATATGCTAGGATCGCCGCCATTGGGGCAGTCTTAACTAAAATTTGGCTAGAGGAGCTGCAAGGTCAAACCCCATTTATATTTTGTGGATTTCTTATAAAATAGTTTTCTCTATTTTAGGAATTTCTTTGTCATAAATACTGCTGTTTATGTTGTCTTGGTTAAAAAATTGATTTCACGCTCGAATATTTTCTGTGCCTGATTCAGAAGTTTTTGGAGCGATTCAGACATAAACCCAACCTAAAGTATCGTCTGCATGGCCCATTATTCAATCCTGTATGGCCAAACAAAAAGTTTTTATCTTTAAATAATTTTGTGATGCCTGCTACATACAAGGGAAATTACTGACCACATTTCCCTGGAATTTGAAGATAAGTTAAGCTTAGTGCAGCAGCCGAACCAAACCAAAAATCGTCAAACATGGCACTTTCGAACCGAACCAAATCGCACCAAGCTGGTTGGTTTGGATGTTCGGCTTTAATATGGCAAGACACTTATAGTGCACAGAATGCATGCAAAAAAGGTGATAAAAAAGCAAACACAGCGAAAAATGGATTATGCACCGGCGGTGGGCACATGTGCGTTTACACACGTACTATAAATGTACTGTATCGGTACATACCGGTACATGTACAGTGAACTCTGATGGCCCCGCATAGTGCAATGGCTGTAAAAAGCACGTAGTGAGAATTCACTGACTATCAACCGAGAGTATGCAAAGTACAGCATTTCTGCTGCACAACAATTTTGAATCTCACTACATCTAATTGTGCTCATGTATATTCAAATTTAGCACTATGTTTGCCAATTTCAAATAGCCATGCCCTTAACGTTCCATAATAGGCCCATGATGTAATAAATGGCCGTGCAAAACGAATTTCGATCGGATACTGATCACAGTCGGATTCGTGCTCGATCAAAGGACTCGTGCTCGATCAAAGGACTTGTGCTCGATCAAAGGACTCGTGCTCGATCAAAGGACTCGTGCTCGATCAAAGGACTCGTGCTCGATCAAAGGCAACTCCAGAAGGAGAACTGATTTTGCGAGGCGGGCTGCGCCACGCCATTGCAGTGCTCCAACGCACGACAATATTTGGTTCGTGCGGCGGCCCAACTTGCCTTTTGTTGATCATGTTTGATCAGAGTCGTAATGTGAATATGCTGCAATGGAATTTTGCAAGATCTATAAGTTGTTTGCAAATCTCGAATAACAAAATGCCATTATCTGTTCGAAAAAGACTGATGGAAAATCGCCCCTTTTGCCACGTGGGCACCGTCCTGGGAAAGAATGATGACTGGATACCAAGGTTCTCCTCTGAATACATCAAAAGCCATTGTTTGGCAGTAGAATCTGTTTCGTGAAAAAATAACCAAAACACAATTCGTTTCAAATCTAATTTGATCTTGTATCCTATAAAGAAGCAAACTCCCATTTAAGCATGCTGGTTTTTTTTCTGTTTTCACATATCCTACGATTGTTTTGTTGAGTCAAGCGTGGTCCAAACACAACTGCTTTTGGTCGGCAAAACACAGTTGGAAACTGTCACACCTTCAACGGTAACTTTTTATGGAATTTTAACTCTTAAACAAACTTGGGAGAAACAGTTTAGAAAAAAACTATGTTCAATCGAAGTTGCTCGTGGATGGGGATGAGAGGAGATTGCTTGTATTAACGTATTTTACACATGGAAGTACTATACGGCACATTCATTCATAGTGTGCTCTTGAGGTCTCAATGTACATTATCTGTACATGTCCGAACCCAAACCGAACCACAGTTTGGCCAAAAATGTCCGAACCGAATCCGAACCGAACCTTGGCACCTACTTGCAGCACTAGTTAAGCTGCAGTCAAACTGAATAGTTTTCGTTAAGGGAAACTAGGAAAATGACTGCTCCGGTAAACAAAGTAGTGGCTGCTCTGGGGTTTGCGTGTGACGTGTGTATGTTTATACTCGGCGATCAGATTACAGTGTCAGCCTTCTCTATTATGCAGGGGTTAGCATTTTTCATGTTTGCAGTTAACTCCTTTCGTGTCTGTTGGATTCAATACATGTCCACGTTGAAATGCTAAGCGTGTTTGCGTTTCAGCTAGAATTCTGACCTGCACTGTATGGTGTACTTGGAACACTGCAGCATACTTGTTCTCATATGGAATGTTCTCAAAGACAAAACCAACTAGCGGATGAAAGAAACAAAGAATGATACTGCATGTTCATATTTCTTTCTTAAAGTGTTCAAGTGTTAAACTATTAGTATTTCCCTGGGATAAAGCTGGGGCACAGTGTACTCACCAGGTGTCTCCTGAAGGTTTTTTCGTATTTCATGTACTTGAGACAGTATTCACAAATCCACAGCCTTGGCTGTTTGCCGTAGTCCTCAGGAAATGGAGAGAAGTACCACGAGTCAATCTCATAACGGCCAATCTGAACTCGATCTACATATTTCACTTTGGTTATCTGTAGCAATACAAACCATGCAAAGTGGTTAAACTGCTAAAAAGATGATCCTTTCTAGATGTCAGAACTTTCTAACATTCCATGATAGACACCCATGCATTTCATAAAATCACTGAAGCATAACGTTGCACAAGTTTACATAGACTGATAGAACAAAGAAATGCTTACAGCTTCATGTTCTCTCTCCAAGGCTGCCGTGGTGGGATCCATCTCAGCATAACTCTACAAGAAAGCAATCCCAGAAACTTAATGAGATTTCTCAGAGAAAGACAATTTCCAGAAATAAACTGTGCAGGTGTCTTAAACAAAATTTCATTCGGAGTATTTCAGTAATTCATTTTTCTGTCCATTTCATATTGACTTTTTCCCTGTTTTTATACAGTGCCTTCTGCACCTCTCAAGGAGGACATCCACCGGTATCATTAATACCTTACTATAGTTTATAATAACCTTACAAACAACGTCCATCAGAATCACTGCAAGTTTTTAAAGATGACTGGTTGGCAAAATGTCAACACAAAATATAACACATACCCGTGCTCAAGTCACACATGTATGTGCAGCTGTAACAGAAAAAAACCTCCTGGCTTTGTCCTTAATCAGTTGATGTTTCCTTCAGTACAGCAATGAGTACCGTTACATGTACATGTACTTAATGTCACTTCAAAACATAATATTTCAGTTCACTGAGATGTGATTACAAGTACATGTAATGCAGTCTCAGGTCACAGGCTACAAATGAACTGTGACAAGGGCATTCCTTTCAATCCTCTGGCACTGTGTATTCTGTCACTCCTTGGTCTGGGTGACAAGTGAACTTCAATAGTCGTGGCCACTATCAGTAAATAGTCGCGACTAGTTGTGACTGTTAGTATTGCAATCAAAACCACTGACCACGCCTGTACAATATCGCAAGGGGCAGATCTTTGATGGTGTCACACTGTACTTAGGTATTTGTTTGGTTGGATGTAGCTTTATACTTTCTGAAATGAAATATGAGGCTGTTTTGAGATCCAATGGCCATTATTCCTGCATCATCAAATTCATTATCAGTAAAGTGATCCCTCCATTATCATAATGGAGTATGAAATAAATGCTGGATTTATTGCTTACATCAACAGGCTGTGTTTGCTTGAGAAAATCAGTATAAAGTTTAGTCTGTGGTATGTGTATATGTACAATGTATATACCGGTACTCAGCCACAACTTGAGAGAGATAGGCTGTCTGATGGCACTGCTGAGAATGACCATATAAACTACTGTGGTTAACTTGTCATTTCAACACTTGTCAACATACTGTTGCTTAATCCTAAAAGCTACAGGCAATATTTGCTCACAGAATTTGAAGCTACTGTATAATGACTTGAGTCTGCGACAGAATACATTGTGTACATTTTCATTTCTGTGAGAAAGCAATCATCTCAATAGTAAAAAATGGAAACTTACTTTGTCTGGCTGAAGATATGTTTTGAAAAATCAATTTGTCAAATTGTTTTCTTACCTTTCTGTTTATTTGGAAATGTAGCATCAACTCTCAAATATTCAGGTTGCAAACCAACCAAAAATTATCTGAGATTTTGATTGCCTTAACATGAGAAACAATCAAAGTCAATGAAGTACAGTCACAACAAAATTTCTTTTCTTCCTTTACAGCTTCATAAACAATGGCACAAAGACAGTTCAGAAAAGTTCGGATAACAATAAATAAATAACATATTAAGGGACCGTATACTTATATTTGAATTTTTGATGTGTTAAATTTATGCACAATTAAATACAATAAATCTGTTGTCTGACTTCTTAAATGACTGATCCAATGTTCAGAAGTTCAGATCAGGGAACACGTGTACAATAGCGACTTATTGATCCATAGACCAACACAGTTACTGGTTATCAAAAATTTAAATGTCTCAAAAATGGAAACTGATGTTAAGTGCATACACATGGGGAATTTGATTTTATATTTGATTTTGAGAAAGTCTTGACAGATGAGTCCTCCTGAATCTTTAGTGCACATTTTATCTCAAATTGTCATGGAGGAAAGTGAGGTACATGTGCAGTATCTGACGTTACTTGGCTTCAAACATGCACACTTCACACTGACAATAATGCCAGCAGTGCTAAACAGCCAATAAGAGGGCACACTTGTTGCCACAATGGCAAGATACCGTACCTCTTAGCCAGTTTGCTGAAAACTTAAATCACGTTTCATTCTGTTTCCACCACGACAAGAGGATTATCTTCCGAACTGATGGGTGTTTCTGTAACCTATTAGCGCATTTCATCAGTTGTCAAGGCGTCAGGACCTAGGGGTGTGGCTGGCTTGGAGGCTTTATACAATCACCAAAGATTTATGTGATTGTTGCAGCTTTGGGCCGGGGCTTTTCAGATTCTGTTTAACCATCGGTGTGACCATCCTCTCCTGCCATCTCAGAGCACCCTACTTATTTGTTGAGTTTTCACCATGGGGAGTTTGAAGCGTGGATCAAGAAAACTACATACATGTACATGCAGTTGAAGGTTCTCCTGCATGTGTAGCTACATTTTGCCACCCATAAATTTCGCCCAGTTTTTCGATCATGGTAAGCTTGGCATCTTCAACTGATTTCATGTCATCTGCCTTGCCGACAAGACTCTGTTCTAGCTGGTATATGCAAAGCAGTAATCCAGAAACAGTGACATACTCCCCACTGATGAATTCAGTCATCTCCTTTATTGGGGTCAAGAGGACCACCAACTGTTCAATAGTTTGGAACTGGTCGTGGCATCAGTCCATGCCTCTTGAGTTCCAGGAGCAAACTGCAGATGGCCTGCTGCTCTTGTACAGTCCCTTCTGACATGTCTAGAGTAGAATTCCACCAGGTTTTTACATACTGAACCAGTTTGTTCTTGGGCATCAGGTCAAGCATTCCCTGCTTCTCTGTTAGCATTTAACTTGCTGTGGCACTTTTTGTGAACATACTGCACAAGTTATGTGCATCTGGCAAGTGTTGTGTGAGACTTGCTTGGTGTTCAGTCCTGCCCTGATGATGAGATTTAGGCAATGCCCAATGCAAGGGAGATGTCCCCAGATGAGATCCCAACGGCCTCTGTTATATATGGGATGCATTGTTGGTTGTTATGGTTGTTAGTTGTTCCTGCTCCAAG